TTTTTCGTGGAGGACAGCCAGATGCGATGGGTCCTTGGTGCTGTCGACCTCCGCGTGAAGACTTGCCGGGCTGGCCTCCGAGCCAGAACATTTCAGGACGCTTCTCCAGCTTCTCGAGGAACGCGTAGAAGCACCAGGTCTCGATGCAAAGGCTCGTAAAGGACAAACGAGCGAGAGTGGCCAGCATTTTCAGCTTGCGACGGTTGGACTGCGCGGGGCTTGATTCGAGAGGGACGTGGAACGCCCACTCCCAGAAAGCGCGCCGGTGAGTCATCCAGAACCGCCAGTGAGCTTGATGAATATCCTGATTTTCAGCTGGATTGTACCAGAGGGGTCGACCCGACCACGGGTACGCCAGGCGCCAGGGAATCTTGCCGGCTTCCTCGGTCTTGTGGAGGACGACGGCGATGGCGGTTCGTACGACTCGAGGAGCGTTAGGATTCACCTCCAGTAGCTTGGCGAAGTCATACGAGGGAAGCGTCGAGGCAGTCAACTTCTTGGTAGAGCGCGGCTTCTTAGCGGATGACTTGGTGGCAGTGTTGTCAGCGCTAGCCTTCCGTTTAGAGGTCTTCTTGGAGGACGTCGCGGGTTTCTTGGCTGAAGACTTCGTAGACAGCGTGGCCGCGGGTGCTGCACTTGGAACGCCGAGCGCGGCTAAACAAAATCACTACCGGACCCTGCAGGCTGACGCTCGCCTTGCCTTGGATAATGTCGTCAACGAGTTGATCGAGGTGTTGGACACCCGTGGACATGCCGTTAACCCCGAGATGCGTGCACAGCTCGTCCCAGTGTTGCCGCTTGAGGGCATTAGCGTCGTCGGAGGAAGGGCCCTGCTCTTCGCGATCGATAGCGGCGTTGAGAAAAGCGCGGAACCGCTTCAACTCGGCGGCCGTGAATCGAGTCGTCATGGCGGAAGCACTAGGGGCGTAAGTCGATGGGAGATCGGGAACTGAAGGATCCCATTCCGGAAGAAGATTAGTGGCTGCCGTTGTGTACGACAGGGAGACTCCAACTGGGAAGGGACGTTGAAGTGGAACGCGATGAAGGGAATCAACCCTGGCCGAGTAGATGCCAGGTGGGACATGTGCCCTACCAGTGGACGACGGTTGGAGGTTCACTACGGGAACTGGCAGACGATGGAGAGGTGGCTAACATGGGCTGGAGCCGCAGAGCTAAGGGAGGTAGCAGGAACGACAAACCACTGGGCACTCGTTAGTAGTGTCGTCGCTGGCATCATAGTGTGGGTGGTGACCACGCCGCTGAGGAATGTCTCGTGGGCGTTCCTAGACAGCGTCGTTGACAGCGGGAGGGCAATCTACTTCTTCGTGTACACCTGTGGCGATAGATACCTCGAAGCAGCGCGGAACGGTAATGCTTTAGCACTACCTCCTCTCGAGTGTGCGTGTTCTCTGATCTCGTTGGCGTTCCTGATTCCTATCGCAGTGCTGTGAGATTATGAGTCGCGATTTGGGATAACAGGACGGCTGTGCTTGAGATGGTGTGAGGCGTTCCACCACTCCTGCTGTTTGTTCGTGCTTGACGCGGTCCAGCTACTCTAGGTGTCTACCTGCAGGTATACCCGAGCGATAGGGGAAGCTACGGTGGCAGTGATCGAAAGGACTGGCGATTTCTTGATGGGTGTTTACTTGGCGGTCTCGCTACTATTGTCTATGCTGGTGTACTTGCCACGGTTGGTGTATGAGAGTGTGGAAGGCGTGCTGGGAGGGCCGATCGGCGTAGTTTCGACGGTGGTCGTGGTGGATGTCTACTTCGAGTTTACAATGGAAAGCTGCTACTGGAGTGCAGCTGTGCTAGTGGTTGGCTGCTATAACAATGGGCTGCATTATTACTG